TTTCTGCAGAAGTTGCGACTGATACTATCCAAATTGTAACACATGTGAAAGAAGTAGATTTCAGGACGAGAATGCAGTGTGGTAAGGACAATCTAAAGAAACGCGATGCGTTGACGGAAGAATACAGAAAGGTAGGTATTACTGAAAAGGGAATCACACATAACTTTGTTAAGCGCTATTCGATTTAGGGGGGGGTGGCTTTCGTACCTTCGCCACTTCCTTTTGCTAGTTCATGCGATTTACACGTCCCGTCTTGGTGAGACTTGTAGACTCTTATCCAATGGAAACGCTGCTCGTGCTATTGCACAGGAATTTACAGCCTCCACAGGAGAAATCGACATTGATTGATGGGCAAATATACAAAATTTAAATACACAAGACATATAAGGTACAAAAAATATAATAAATAAATATATAAAATACCCCCATATACAAATATACAGAATACCCCCAAACAAGTCGAAGTGCCCCTCACCTTCCATTTCAGGCATTCCTAAGGTACACTTCTGACTTTACAGGTCAGCTACGAAATTCAAAATGAGAAGAAGTTTGACCATCCAGATTTCACCGTTGTTGTGCAAGGATTCATGGATGACATAATGGACGCCTTCCGAAATGTGAGCATACCCTACGCTAGTTTGTTTTGCGTGTGTCACTATGATGCCCTCCCCCCCCCACCCCCCAAATGATAAATTTCATTCATTTGCAGAAAGAAGGCAAATACGACAAATCATTCTATGCTGCTGACATGTTCCACTTGAGTAAATACGGTAATGCTGTGCTGGGCAAATTTCTCTGGAACACTATGCTTGAGCCCGTTGGCAAGAAAACAACGAAAGCGGATTTGGGCGACGACTCAGCCCCTTTAAAATGTCCCACGAAGGTTCGTGCCCTTTGAAAATCTTCCAAAAATTAGAACTGCAACACGTGCAGTCGGGTTACTCTATGTTTTCAGGAAATCTCCTTTCATTACAAACTCTGCGGTAATCGATTCGTGCACCCTACTTTATCCGACAATGGCCCCCAATTTTCTACTTCAGTTGCAAGAGAACATACTCTGCAACAGTAGCATATACCCTTAAAATCCCATAGATAAGAGCGGTCCATAGATAAGAGCGGTTCGTGAAATAAAATTTTAAAAATGTTTTTTCAAAATCATTTCTTACCGGTAAATTAAACCGCTCTTATCTATGGAATTTTACTGATCGAATAGGCTTCAAGTTCTATCCAGAGATCAAATTCCGGCATTTCTAGAGAGATTCCGGCAGAAATTCCGTTAAAATCGCTATTTTTCTATATGAATTGTTTATTAAGTGGGCGGGGTTTAGAGTTGAGGGGCGGAGCTTCTTCTAAACTTCTTCTCCGATTTTTATTTATCCATCCATCAAGTTAGAGGGGTGACTGCATTCAATTTCAATTTCATTCCAATGTTCAATTTTTACCGGTAAATATTAACCGCTTCTTTATCTATGGGATTCTAGGGTGTAATTAGTTCATGTAGGATATAATTATTCATGTCTATATGTATGTACGTGTTACTTATTACGAGTTTCGACTCACAAGTTTTAATAAATATAAACTTTCATTATTACAACTGTTCAGATGCATTACCGGATCGCTAAAAAACTGTTGCTCACCTGATAGTGCCTTCCGCGGAATCTGCGGGCTTTGGAGAAATGCAGAATTGGAAGAGAAGGGGTATGAACGTACTAAAGCTTCTATTCTCCCAATTCCGTGGAACCCGCCTTTTCTCCCAAAGCTCCGCAAAGGGCGGGCTGAACGATCATTTCCCTCTACGTAGTATTTGTCGTCTATTTCGCCTGCACTCCCAATGCGCCATTTCTGCCTATTTTGGAGACCTTACAATTCCTGAAACTACGGAATTGGTCATTTGGTCCAACTAGGAATAACTCTTAAGTGGGGCAAGTGCGCGCACTAGCATCGACTTCAATCAGGGTACCATGAACCTACCTTTCGTCAGCAAAGGGTCCGTGACAGGCTGACCTGCTGGAAGTCGAGGGGAAAAGAGAAGCGCAGTTGTGGGACACGTCCTCCCGTCTCTATAGTGTCATCCATCCGCGCGCGGAGATTGATTGGAGCATTGTCAAAGTCCGCCGCAGATGTGAACGTTGTAGAGGGTTCATTAGTTGTTCGATGATGTTTTAATCTGGACAGTTTCTCTATGGGACTATTTCTCTCACGGAGTGCAGCATATTCGTGTGAAATGAT